GAGCTCTTATTTTACTGACAATGCTCTCCTGGGCTGGTCTATACAACTGGGATACAAGGATAAAACGCTCAATTTATCAAAGCAACACAGCTTGAAATCATCACCTATCAGTATTCGTTTAAGCTCTATTACAGTACGCAGAATGCAGATTCCCAAACTCCTGAAAGTGGCTGTCATTGGAATTTTAATTGACTAACATGAAGGAGGTTGTAATTTTTCCCCAGCCCATCTATCTTCTCCCTCACCTTCCTCGTATCTACCTTTCTGCTTCTACGGAACGATAAAATCGTCTGGATTTAAGTTATGGCAAGTTTTTGAAGTGCTACAGGTGCCCGTAAATTTGGCGGGCACCTTTGGGAGCCACTGCGGCGGAGTTGGCTGTGCCACTATTTCATAGCCTGGATGATTCATGGCTCTCCATGTCGTTCCTACAGAGGCCTCATAAATCTAAACTCATGCTGCCATCATTATGGAACAGGGGGCCAGCGAGCAGAGGCCCAAGGGCCACTTCACATGGACTAACGCTTTTGGTCATTTCACTGCTCTTCACATTTCATCTAGGTGATCCCTTCCCAGCCAGACAGGCTTCAGGCTTTTGTGGACTGCGACCCTAGAGATGTCACAGCGACTTCGCCCACGCACACGTCTAGCCTCGGTTCTCCCTGGCCAGCGGCAGCTGTCCTAAACACTCGTAAAAATCATATTCCTATTAAGTTATAAAAAGGTTTTGCAACAAATGCACCATTTCATAGGCTTGAAAGAGAGGGAAATGTCAGTGGGAGAGTAAAACTGAGTTATTGCTTCCAGTTTGACAAAGAACAGCAACAAGTAACTGAGAGAATATAAGAAAAGGAGGATAAGAAGAAAGAAAATATAGCAGGATAAGCCCAGGAGGGGTGCGCATGGTCTTTGTCCGTTTCTTACACAAGCTCCTGGGCTCCTTGTTGTAGACACCTGTGCACGTCTAATGTTTCAGTGAGTCTCTAAAAAACAAATGCATAGCTCCGATCTCTTAATCCGCGTGGCTCCGTGGAGCATGGTCACATGATACGGCTGGGCCGATGATGATGGTGGGCCACGGTGGTAGGGGTGCACGAGGGGGGGTGAGCTTAATCTTTTTTAATTCAAATCAAGGAGGTCCCTGGTGGGACACAGGGATGATACCCTATCCGCTGCAATCAGGCTGACCTCCACTTCGGGCGCGTTCTAAATGATTAATGGAGCTGCCTTCCCACCGGTTTCCACGGCAACCGGTAACCTGATAGCCCACAGGAATTCGGCTGCCCGCCCAAGTGAGCGCCAAGGGAGGAGGCAGAGAGGGAGAGCGAGAGAGAGAAAGAGCGAGAGGAAAAAGATAAATGAAGCAGTGGTACAGTCTGTATATGGGAGAGGGATGGGGGTCGAGAGGGATAGACCCAGTTCCAGGAGAGAAGGAAAACAGAGACTTCCGTGAAGATGTGGGGTGAAAGCATAACTTTGTGAGATAGAATGATGAATTGGGATATTACGCTAGCTGTTGACTATTCTAATAATCAGGCAATAGATTAAAAGATCGCCAAACAAGCAGCATCAACATCTATCGTTCACATCTAAGTACAATAATATACACAGTTATGTTCAAGCTACAGCAGGTTTTTGCATCGCCAGGCTCCTCTCAGTCCAAGTACACGTGACACAATGTGTAAACAAATATAGATAGGATTGTCTTTCAGACAGTCTTACAGAGAAAACACAACACTGAGATCTGAGGTACGGTTTCAGTCTAGTACAACTGTTAAAAAAAATACAAATAAAATGCATAAAAATAGTGGATATGTGTTTAAAAAATGGAAATTGTGCCAATATACCAACATTAGATATTATATTAACACCACGTACAAAGATAGATTGTTAACAGATAATATAATAATCTTTGAACAAGATTATTGAATATTTTAATATTTATATTATGTACACAAATATTTTATTGGTTTAATATATTTGGTACTTTTCAGTCAGACTAAAGTGTTTACATTACATTTTTAATTTTTACTAGCTATGGTCCAACTAAAATGAAAGGTACAAACGTAGAAAGATACGTTGTTAACAGATAATAATCTTTGAACAAAATGTACATTACAATTGCGAAAACTGAAAATGTATGTATAGAGTAAATGTATGTAAATGTATTTATATTTAATGTAAATGTGTGTGTGTGTGTGTGTACATATATATATATATATATATATATATATAGATAGACAGATAGATATATATAGATATATATATCTATATCTATATACATGTACACACACACACACACTTTTCAGACTGAATAAAGTGTTTACATGACATTTTTAATTTTTGATAGCTTTAGTCTAACTAAATTTGAACATTTAAAACTATTGACATAGCGTCATGCTTAAAATACCGCCATTATTACCTCTTCGTCTGGCCATCAGACATAACACATGGGCTTTGCAACTTTTAAAATAGCTGCTAAGCCCATTGTCCATGCATCCAGAGGGCGATTGATGAGGGAATCCATGTTAACTTGATGGGACCTCTTGTGCTTAAGTGGCCTTTACAGGGTAAGAGTCTACAAGGGGATTGATATCGATAGAAACTCAAGGCCTAAATTGATCTGCCCATCAGGTTCACAGCCAGATGTTGACCCTGAGTAGACAGAAGAAAGCCATGATGGAACTTCACCAGTCGTGATATTGAACATGGTGGCAGAGGGCAGATTAACAGACAATTATGAACTACTTAACCTGATGTCTTAATGTTTAATATGTGATTTAATGTCCAAAAGAAGGGTCGGCTACACATCTAGACAAACATTCTGATTTATTGGATTTGTAACATAACTGATCCTCCACTCTCGGTTTCATCTTCTCTGTATGTGTGTGTTTGTGTGTGTATGTTTGGGAGTATTTGGTGTCAGGCCTATTGTTGTGGTTGAAGGTAAAATCAGCTGCTAGGCTTTCACAGGAAACCACACAGACAGAAAGCGCTCCATACTGCCCAGTATGTGTATCGAAATACCATCCCTGAGAGTGTGTTGTGGGGGTGTGTGTGTGTGTATATTGGAAGACATTCACAGTATCACCAAAGGTATCTGTGTACATGGTGTTGCTTCTCCCGCAACATCCTGTCACTCATCGATGCAGCCACAATTTTGGATTGAATTTCTCCAAAGTTTTTGCCTATGATGATGACACAGCTTTCCAAAACATATTAAAAATCCACATTATTTGCATCTACACATAATGGGTGTTAATCAGCTCCGGTTTCTAAACACGTAGGCTAGCTAGAAAATGTCATTTTACAGCAGTCTGCAAATCTGTTACGAAAGGGTATTTTCAAAGCTGTGCACGTGTGCCCTGTGTGTGTGTGCTATACGCAGTGCTGACGGACTGATGCAGAGGGGGTATCACTGACAGACTGACAGGCCAGTAAACCCAATCTGACCTGTTCCTCCTTGCTCTGCTGTGGCCTCTGTCTCCCAGTCTCCCTCAGACTCCAGTTTCCTCTATTTCCTGCACAATCTCACAAGCCTTTATAGAGCTGCCGCTAGTCACTCACACAGGCAGCTTTAACCCACAGAGAGTACAGCAGTATTGACCTCACCCAGTTTCAGCTCTCTAGTCTTTGAGAACACAAGATGGATGTACTGGTCACAGTCTCTCATCAGTCCATTCTGTGGGAATAAAGACAGCTTATTAGACCGATGTGTTTACATGACTATTTCAATGCTATGTATTGTATTTAAGTCACTGATAAACGTATAATCAAAAATGTAAATCAAAATTAAGAATAAAAAAGTTTATGAATAAAAAATTTAAGTATGTTACAAATGCAAATGTAATACACAATAAACACACACCAAAAGTTGATTAGTTAACAAAAAACAGTTAATCAAAATGCAGACTCACTTGCTCAGTATTATTACAACTTTGGAAAATATTAATAACATACAGTAGTCAACATTTGAAGTGGATCAAAACCTTTCATCAAAGTCGTCCTAAAACCAAAACAATACCCGTTCTTGTCTTAGGACAACTTTGATGAATTTTTTTGATCCACTTCTAATGTTGACTATTGTAGTTAAAATACACAAATGGAATTATGCAATGACCAAAAATGTAAAATCAAACTCACATTTAATTCTGAAAAGAAGCCACCTTTTGCCTTGATTTTGCACACTCCACCTGAAATACATATATTTTGAAATATATTATTAATATTATTACTATTATTAATAATTCATTTTATTTAAAGCAAATTTATTATTTATCATTAAATGTATTTATTTATACATATATTTGTGATTTTTACAGACATTCATTAAGTCACGTGTGTCCAAACTTTTGACTGATGTCATACATTCATCTTTTTAATGGTTTTGGCATTGTTATTTTGGAAAAAATATTCCAGAATGAACAAAAGTCAGACTTTTGTCATTAGTAACATAAGGACTGACTATCATGACAATTTTTGGAAAACAGCTGTATTTTTTATTTGTATTTACAAATTAGCGGAATATATTTTACTCGCTGTTCTGAAGACCTGCCTGGTACCATTTTGTTGAAATTATGGATAATGATCGTGACCTGTATCCGTAAGGCACAGTGTTTACTTTCACAAACAAGTTTATAAGATGAATTGAGGAATTCAAACTGTGTATACCAAGGGGAGCAGAAATGTTTAGTCACAGCGGAATATCTGACACACGTGACTACCGAAGGACTGAGGGCTGCTGGGTAAGAGAACGGACCAGCTTGTGTGGGTGGCTGGAAATACACCAATTGCAAACAGCAAACAACTAGAATCCATGAGCTGATGACAAAGTCTGACCTGAAATATAATGAGAAAATCCCCCCCTCACGTGTGTCTTATAGCTATGTGCATGTGTCACAGATGTCAGTAGACAAAACTTCATGAAACATTTACAAACCACAGGAATTTGTGTAGAGGCAGATGGCTTTTAAGACTTTGTACCTTTAAGAGATACTGAACCCAAATGCTCCGGAAACCGTGTATTAGTCGCAGTGCTGTGCAGAAGCCCTTCAAGTTCAAGGATGTCCAGGTTTAGGCTTAACAGGAAATACAAAAATAAATAAGTTTAAAAGTAGGCCTTTTAGGTTTAGTAGGTTTTATATTGAGGCCACAAATCAACACATAAATGAATGCATAGTTTAACATAGTTTAAAGGAATACTCCATCTAAACTACTTTCATCATTTACACACCCTCATGGCTGGAAACAATGGTTTATATTTTAAAAAGTTCAAAATAGTAGTATTTTTTTTCTCACACACCTATCATTTTGCTTCTGAAGACATAAATTAATCAACTGGGGTCAAACACTGTAAAAAATGGATTTATTAAAGATTACAAAGATTTATTTCAATGTGTTAATTGCCATTTCCTCATGATTATTTGTGATATTCGCAAACAATTTCTTGAAAACTGTTTCAAGGTCATTGTTTTTTTCAGTGCATGGATTACCGTGGTGCTCATTTTGCATGGTTTTTAAAGCATCAGCTTTGAGGGGACCAATTCATTATATGGACTCACAGAGATGGATTATTTCTCTAAAAACCTCAGTTCGTGAAAGAAAGAAAGTTATATACCTTTGGGATGGCATAAGGGTGTAAATGATGAGAGGATTTTCATTTTCAGGAGGAGTATCCCTTTAACTTTTAGTAACACTGTGAACAACCAGCAGTTGTAATCAGTCAACAGGCCCATAAGAGTCAATGTGAGCAGTGTGAGAAGGGTTCAACAGTAGGTTTGCCCCCTTTGTCAGAGACCAAGGGGGCCAAGTCTAACTTCGTTTCATGATTAATGAGAGAGGGAAATGGGGTCATGTTGTATTAAGAAAATGTGTGTTTAAACCCAAAACCGGCACAGAGCTCTAGACTAATGCATCAGTTATCGACTGGACACCTGAGAACGAGAGGCTGTTACACCGGTCCCTACGGCCTGCAGGCCCATCCATCCACACAGAGCTCCCTTTACCTTTCTGTCTCAGTCGTTCTCTCACTTTCTTCCTTTATAGCGTCTTTTTTAGCTCTTTTCCACTCTCGCTTTCTTGCAATCCCTCTCTCCATCCAACATTGTTCTATTGTCCATTCTTTCTCTACTCCATAACACAATAGGCTCTGTGTCAGTGTGATTGCGTGTTTATAGGGAAGCCATGATGGTTAGCACTCAATCCGCTCTCAATCCCCTCAGTGGACAGCAATTTGATCCTGATGACTTGTTGGGGATACAACGGCATGGCCTCGGGTCCCTACTTCTCTCTGCATTTACTTCAATCTCTGATGTTAGTAGCAATAATATGTGCAAATATTTAAGGTAAAAACTAGTTTCTCAATGTGTGTGTTTTTTTTTTTACATCGTAACCTGGAGCTTTTACAATTATACGTTTTGTGCTTTTTGAAAAAACCAAGTCTGAAAACAAAAGTCTCATAAATTTGTTTCAGATCTGTTTTCGGTTTGCTCAAGTGAACCATCATTTTGATGCATAGAGTTCACGTTGCAAAGTTTAGTTGTAAACCAAATATGGAGGGTTGATAGCGACTAAACAAACAACGACTGATTCAGACGAGCTTCTCATCCTCAGCGGAGGCCCAAACAAACGAAAGCATTATCGTACTGTGCCGAGATACCCAACAGGGAGTGGAAAAACAAATAATAGAGAACCATGACATGAAATTCTGTGCAATGGGTTGTCCTGAAATGAAAACCTGACATTTACAAAAGCAGATTTCATAACTGTCTTTTCATCAATATGACAATTACCATAAATTGGTTATGAAGAGTGAAAATTTCTGGTTTTGATATATAGTGTTCCTCCTCAACGGAAACTTCTGCTGTAAGGAACAATCATTATATTTATGCCATAATTAAGTTTGACTAGGACTTCATCAAAGAAGAAGATGAACTTGCAGAGGGAGTTTGAAAATCAGATTGTTTATCTTAACTTGTGCCTTCCACCCTACTATCATTATTTCCTGTTTCTCATAAACAAAATGTAACAAACTGTTGACCATAGGATGACGAGACCTGTTAGATTAGATGACATACAACTTAAAACCAGATTGCCATTATATTTTACAGTCGTGTTTAAATTTTTTTTAAGATAAGAATTTTGAAGAGTTTTAAATTTAGTCTTTTTTTTTTTGCAGGAAAGGAGCATAAATTACAAGCCACTGTATAACCTCATTATATCAAGATTATAATATAAGTAAATATTAGTATATCATAATTAAATATATTTATTTTGCTGGATATTGTCTCAGAATTGGGCCAGCACAGGCTGAACGTTCACTGATGCGAGTCGGCGCTGAAGTATACAGTATCATATTGATTTGCTCATAGCTGTCTTTCTCTTAGACAGATGAGCCTGTTTTATTGGATCATTTCCTCAAACTTTACATTAGGAGGCAGACAGGATCAAAAGCAAACACCAAGAAAGGTCACTCTAATGATTTCTTGTTTTTTGTTGTAAAAATGGGAACATAAAAGAGAAGTAAAGTACCGTTTAGCAATCAGATTAAACAAAAAGATGTTATCTCATAATTCAAACCTTAGACTTGTCATTTTTGAAGTTCTCTGTGCTGTATAACACAAACTATAAAGATTCACAGCACAGTCCTAGTCACAATATAAATAAATTAAAGCATCTTATATATATAGGAGTCAGTAAAGAATCTTAAAAGAAATATATTACAATTTCAACAAAAAATATTAATTAGCATAACTTTTCAACATTGACAATAATAATTTAAATAATTTAAATTCAAGTAATAAAAGCAAATTAACAGAATCATGTGACACTGAAGACAGCAGTAATGACTTCTGAAAATTCAACTTTGCCATCACAGGAATAAATTACATTTTAAAATATATTAAAATAAAATAGTTTTTTAATTGTGATAGTAATATTGATATGTATAAAAGATATACATTTACTTTGGTTGAACGGCTCTGAAACCCACACACACGTACTTCCCTCCCCCCTCACTTCCCTCACTTATGGGTCAGAAGTCAAGCGATTGATCACAACGCTTCCTGCAGAGAAAGTCACATAAATTCGTCCTCTCAGGATTACGCTGGGCTAAAGATGGTCTGCTTTGTTTAGAACTGTTAAACAACACCATTATGTTAAACTCTCTGTTTCCTAGATGTGTGAAATCATTGGCTATTCCATTTGAGTAATTTTGCTTTGGCCACCATGTTTTTTTCTGTGTGCTGCTGGGTGCACGGGTCCTGCTGGTTACATTAACCCATGTTTGGACATCTGCTGGGGCTTGGCTCAAAGAGTGGGCCTGTCAACGTGGGCTTTAGAAAATCAAGAAATTGCACAAACACTGGGCTGTGCGTTAATAAAAACATGCTCCCGCTTGCTGCATTACACCTACATTAGCCCATCTGTCCGGCCTCTGTTGATGCATCGATGCTGTTAAGGATATCTTTAGCCAGATACAGTGACATTTTGAATGCCTTCTGGATTGAGCTGAGCAATGTGACTTTTTCCACTTCAACTTATTTTCTTGTCAAACAGTAAAACTATAGCTTGTGGTCTAATAAAGTCATGTTTGTATATATTTTATATAAAAGACACTTAACTTTATAGCTTTTAATAAAGTGCATAAAAGCAAGGAGTGAACTAGAGAAATAATAAAGAGTGATGGGGCAATCGTAGCTGCTCTCAGTAGGGGAGTGCTATGGTAGGGCCCCGTTTATTTACTTTAAGATTCTGCTGAAAAGATACAGACTGATGTTTTGTCACAAGTAAAATACGAGCCGCTTAACAATATTGTGAAATAGCATAAACAGTGAAATGACCCTTAGAGTAATAACCATCACTTATGATGGCAGGCTGATGTATTCTGATAAGATGTCTTTTTTTCTCCGTTTGAGGTCTTAATTTTTCCCTGCTTCATGCTAGACGTAAAGGAAAAGCTAAATTAGCAAACTAAATGGATAATTGCTTTAGAGGGAGATATGAATAAAGAGGAAGAAATCTGAGCCCATGGGTGGTTTTATTGCTTCCCATTTCTTTCAGCTTTTCTTCACCAACAATGGCAACCATTGATGCTTTGGAGTGATCTTTGGTCAACAGTGAAATTGCTTTAACCAATTAGGAACAGGTTTTTAACAGACTTTTGCAAACAGATCATTTGCTGCGATGTTTTCTTTTTTAAGCTAAATCTGACATTGAGATTGCTTAATTTTTGGAAATAAAACTGTTCTTTGTAGAACCTAAATATCTTCCTTATAGCTTAATAAACTGACATCACTTGGATACATTGCATTGAGTATATTTAAAATTGTATATGATAGCAATATCAACTGTAATTGCAGCTGTGCAATAAAGAGGGTGTTTTGCTGAACATTACATTATTGAACACCAGTTTCTGACTTTCTCTTTAATATTTAAATAGGATGCAATTATACAAAATATATTTTGCTCTTTTAATAATGTGCTATGCTATGCTTCAAAAATCCATGTTACAGTAAAAATGCTAGCTAAAATTAAAATTGAATCTACATAATCTAATAAATCTATTACAGAAAAATATAGGGGAATAAAATAATAAACACTATTTTATGTTCATGTTTTAGATTCATAAACACTATGTTTTTACTTCATTTTACTTCATTTTTTAAGATTCAAATTGGCACAGTTTTCCCATCTACATACATTTTGTGGCGTAAGCCTGATTCTGTTCACTGCCTCACATACTCTCTGGCTACATAATTCAAAAGTTATAGACAAAGCAAAAGAAATGTGAAATTTAGGCAACTGCAGTGACAGGTAGAATAGCGTGCTGGTCTGCTGTGGTTCTGGAGAGAAACGTTTACACGCTTAATTTAGTTTCATCAAAATATTGTTTACATGTCTCTGTGGAACTGACAGTGGCAGTGTGCTGTTATTTGAGCCTGACTATTTGTCAGTGCCGTTGTGACAAGGGCACCACAAGACTCCTCAGAAGGACATGGGCTACTGAGACCCAACTTCATATTTCACTGGGTGTGAGACGTATCCGTTGGCTTCAGCATTTAAGGTGCCACCGATTTACTGCAGTGGTGCTTAATAATAGTCTAGAAAAAAAAATGAAAATCCAGTCAACAAGGAAAAAGAGACAGATCAACACATAGCCTTTAGCTCAATCCTCACTTCAATAGCAATAGTCTCACACTCTGAATACCAGTGGCAAGCGATGACTTAACTGGGTATGCTATCTAATTTATCAGAGAATCAAATAAGAAACAGCATGGCAGGTGTTGATTTAAATGTAGTGCTGTTGCCACCAGGAATAACCTTCAGGTGGCAATGCCTTCCCACAGGCTTACACACAATATTTGTCACGCATGGGGAATAAAAATTATTTTGCTCAAGCATATTGTCAAATAACTTGTAACTTGTAACATAATTTGTCTATGACGAAAAAAAAAAGAAAAATGTAAGATGATGTTTTCAGTGGACTTTCAAAATTACCTTTGCTTAGTGCTGGGCGATAAAACGATAACGATAATTATCGCAATATAGTTTTCCTCAATAAAACGATATCAAGAGTTCGATAAATGTTCAATATAACATTTATGCTCCAAAAGTGGAACGAAACATTTGAACCACGCCACATGGACTGTTTATCCACTCGGCTCTAAGTTCAAACGGTAGCGCAGCGCGAGTTTACTAGTGCAGATGCATTCACTCGCTGATTAGTCTCGGTCACGCGACACTGTGAGATCCATTGTAATTCGCTTGAATTAAGCGACTAAATAAAATAGCATGTGATTTGAACTAGTTTAAGCGAGATGAAACAGCGCTAACAAACAGGAGAAACACTGTGCGCAACGATACACTCAGAAGGCTTTTCAATCTACAAATTGCCATCATTTACCATGGGTTTACTGTAGTAATACTTACTGCATTATGGTATTGTGTAAAAAATGTGGGACATTCATATCAAATTTTATTATTATTAATGACATGTATTAAAGGAGTAATGGAATATAATTACAGTACTTTTTAGATTAAGCTATAGTGTTTGTGCATTTATATGAAATGTATTTACACTATTGTTTTTCATACAATACCTAAAAACCATATAGATACAGTTTTACTATGGTATTGTAAATTGCTCATGTAAATATGAGGTTTTAACTGTGGTTATCATGATCTAAATGTATGCTACTATGGAAGACCAATGGTTAATTAAACAAAAAAACTCAAACAGTAAGAATAATGAAATTTCATGATATGAAAATAAGGTTCTTACAATTTTACAGATGATACTTTTTTTGATAATGAAGATAAATTTACATCTGCATCATAACTCAAGCTACTTCAACTGTCAGCTCAAACGACTGTCAAATGTGCATTTCTAAGAGACAAAAAATGATTAAAACTGCAAACTGTGCTGAAGATATGTATCCTCAAATTCAGGCAACACAAACCTGTTTCATAAATTGAAACAATATCACTTATTAGAACATGCAGAAACAAAGAAATACATTTTTCTATTAAGATATTTATTTTGTTAAGGTAAAATGACTGGAAAAGAAAATCTGCCTTTAACCTTTAAAGAAAAAAAGATTTGAAATTTATTGTGATAATTATCGATATCGACTGATATGAACAATTTTATCATGATAATTTCTTTGGCCACATCGCCCAGCCCTACCTTTGCTTAGAAAAAAAAAACTCTTTTCCAATTGAGTTAGTTTACATCAAATGCAATGTGCTTTTCAGTAATCGAGATCTTGCAGTAACAGCACACTTTTCCACTTGGTTAAGCAATTCACAATTACGATTCATCCAATAGAGTATAGGCGGCAAAGCTGTAGTGGATCTGATCAAACAAATCCCTCCGTAACTGGTACAGATTTGTAGAAATGTACTGTTGTTTGGCAGTTACAGTTACATACATACATACAGTATGTATTCCCAACCATTTATTATGTAATCCTTATGTTACACCTCAAATGGCAAGTAAATTTACAGTAATTTTCCTTTTTAGCCAGTCCACAAACTCATTCTCTTGAATGCAGAGCATTCGCAGCATTATATGGACTAAAGACCCATTTTGAATACTGAATACACTGATCTTGAAGTTTAAGTTCATTGCAAAGAGATAATCTTGTCCAAACCTTCTGGAATCAGAGACTATGTGCATTGACCCAGGTTGGGAATTCCCCAGGTTCTTCGACGAGGCCTCTAAAGCCCAGTGACAGTTTGTTGTTACCATATTGTGTAACCTAAAACCTCAAAGAGAGGTTTGTCACTCACTCACCTTCTCCAGTTGTATGCCGATAAGGACAGTAATTGACAGCTACACCTCTGGAGTGAATGACTTGAGCTCTTGAGGCCAAGCATAGACTTGAACAGCTTCCTGACAGACGCAGGTCAACGTTTTCTTTTACAGAAAAAGACCAAAAATTATGTCATTGTTTTCTTTCCCTCTTCACATGAGAGAATATAATGTTTTCTACATTTACACTGGACGGCTAAATTATCACAAAAAATGCGCCAACATCTGAATTTTCCATACACTAGTTCCAAACATTACACTTGTCTTTCAGCAGCACAGAAGTATGAATATGCATTCAGATGCCCAGCTTCAACAGTCCAATATGCGTAGCAGGTTCCCACTGCTAAAGAGGCTATACCTTGCAAAAACAGCACCTTTCTGTGCATAGCGCGATCAGATCCAGATGGTGTGGGTTATGACCTCCATAAGGCCAGGCGAGCTGATCTACTGTCACTCAGTGTCTCAGTGTGTATGTGTGTTCAAAAGTGTAAAAGAGAAGACAAGAATGATGTATGTTAGTGTAAAAGGAGTCCACAGAATTGCCACTCTCCTGATATTTGCCTTAATGACAGATCTGTCAGCTAATAACCATCAAGTAAATATGATACTGTAATGACTGTCTGTGGTTAAGCAACACATATACAAGACGGTTTTGCTGTGTGTGAACACTACAACACTTTGTAGTTTTGGAAAGATGCTAAATATAAGCTAAATATTGTCAATCGCCTGATAGTATTTCTGAATGCAAAGCACAGGCAGCTTATGTTGCTGATGAATTAAGTATGTGTAAATGTAAAGCAGATACAGTAAAACTGAGATGCACAGAGGGGGATGTATTTTAGGTAAGAATGGAAAAAAGAAGAGGCTGTGGTGAAGGCTTGTACCATTTCTCTCAATTTCTCCTTCCTCTCTCCTCTGCTTCTTTCTTATTAGGTGATCGAGTTTCTCCTCTGGCCCATCAGCTGAATAGGTGGGGCTTGATCAATGGCAGGAAACTGAAAGATCAAATGGTAATATATCAGAATAAGCCTGAGCCAAAGTCTGCACTCAGCCACACACACAGACACTTAAACCTAGACAGAGGCCAATGTGACCACAGAAACAGTAACCTGCACACTGACACAGAGAGTCGGTAACCTTCATCTGTGCTGTACAAGACCATGGAGACCACAAGTGAAGCATCTCACACACACACACACACACACACACACACCCACACACAAACACCCTCTCTTCATTCTCTACACTCGCTCATAAACACCTTTATACATTTACAAACCATTGCAGCCCACGGCAAATGCAAATTATTATCATGAATTGCATTTTCGATAATATTATAGGTTAAATTTATTATGTGTGTGTTTGTATGTATTCATTCATTTTAATTACTTCTCAAAGTTACCCTGAGGATGTGTGTGACGCCTGGTGGGAATTTGCATAATATTCGCACAAGAATTATTTGTAACTCTGTACCACAGATGTAAAGCAATAAAACCAGATTATATTGGTCTCCGCAAAGGACTTAATGCAGGGCTAATTATCTCCTAAATTACTCTAATTTAGAGGTTTAGTGATTTGAGGATGATTAATTTAATCAGGATGTTGCACACACATACACACACCTCAAAATTAATAATTTTGTAATTCCAATGTTTGCAAATAATTGTTTTTTGATGTTTTGATTCTATTTGAAAGAATTCGTAAAAAGCAGAAATTACTTGGAACTGAGATTTATTGTTTATGCCATTCACTTATGTCACCTACCAATTACACACACATAAGAATCCTTGACAAAATATGAAAGAACATTATATTATATTATATTATATTTATATTATATTATATACTATATTACGTGTCCTCCCTGTGTCTTATGTCTGTTTGGTCATTGAAAAAAAAACATAAAATAACTCAGTGTTCCAGCTAATGCTGCAGTTGTGGAGTCATTAATCATATGATTTGACAACAATCATTAAAGCGGCGCTCTGGAAAGCGTCTGACTGAATAAGTGAGTTTAGCAGGCTTAAATATTAAGATACAACCGATCCACAATGAAAGCGGATTTCTAATATTTTCTACACTGCCTTGGCCTAGTTTATCTTTCAAGAAACGTGAACAATATATGTACAATATTTAGGCTACAACGTGGATGTTTATTTAATCGCTGTCTGTAGAGGCGGGCGTGTTAAATGGTAAAAAAAACTAAAGCTAAACACATTACTTTCAGTGATTGTTTTCATCGGGGCGGTTAAATGCGGCCATTTAAAAGCTAAAGCATTTATACAGACAGACTCTACCTGTGAGCGGTGAGAATTGATACAGCATACACTTAGAGAAGACCATTTGTATTCAGAGTCTGCAATATCTATAAGGCAAATGCTACTGCGCTGCAACCTAACACCGGCTTTTAGCCCAAGTGGACACATTGCCCTCAGTTTAGCGTGCTGTCGGAGGAGCTTGAATTGGTGATTGAGTGTAAGCGTCGTCCATAAATCAGAACCGACCTCAGATTGTGACCCTATAAGACTGTCCACAAAATGTCCGTATTGAAATCTGATAATAATAATAATAATAATACATAGCCTATATAAACGCGTAATAAATTATTATATATAGGCTAATATATTATTATTATTATTATTACACGATTTTTTTTATTAAACGAGAGGCAGATCATATTAAAACAATTTATTTTCAGTGGTAAGCATTTCACGTGTGTTGTTGTTGATGCTTTGTATTTACATTTGATTCCTAAATGCTCTTATTATTACAAAGTTTACAAGTTTCAGGAAAAGCCTTCACCACCGAAAAATCGCAATAAGCAATGTTGCGTCGCGTTCTTTATTGCGTCTGACAACTTTAGTGAAATAACTATATAGCCTAAACCTAGGCCTATTAATGCAGAGACTTCACGTGTGCGTGTCAGTCGACTGAATGTTTAACTTGAGCTTCCGAGAAGCGGTTACCCAGGACAGATATAATTGTTTGTTTAATTTGTATCTGATGCATGGAGCCATGTCCGCGTTCACTAATTACAGTCCAGGTTTTGATTTATGGCAATCAGGCTTGTTTAATCTCCTAAATCCAGGATCAAAATGAACCAGTTCCGCCTTTTCCATGAGCTACAGCACCAAGTGTCACTGGGGCCTGTGCGCAACCAGTGCGCAGCGCATTTCCTCGCGTTGAGGGGCAATTACTCCCCATATTGAATGCAGAGTGGCTCAGTGGGATTACAGAGGTGGACACCCACATGGCCAGAGGGATTGTTTGCTTGTGTGTGTGTGTGTGTGTGTTTGCTGCATGCGCACTCACTGCGCGCCTAGTACAAAATGACCAGTTAGCCTATTTTATGGAGGTTTTATGAGCGGGACGCCTGTGTTTCAAGCTGTTGTCAAAGTATCACACTAAAGCAGAAATATAGTTAAGAAAATATATCGGATTTTAGTGGATTTATTTTCGAACAAGATTAAATTATATGTAGTCGATGCTACATATATGCAGTAAATGTTATCAAACGCGCTCTATTGGAGACCGGGGTCGTGTTAAGAGTGATAGTTGTTTCCGTTTTGTTTTTGTGCTATATGGGTCCCAAATTCTTATTTAATATTCTTATATTTGCTTGCTACAAATTCAAGTAGTTTAGAAATCCACTGCTTATTTCTAAACGGTGTAAGACAACGTCAAGCAGCTATACGAATGGTGCTGTTGTTGAAAACTACCGCACTAGCAGGGTTGGTTGTTAACACGAATTGAAAAAATGTCCATTTAAATTTTGTGCATTACTTTATATTGTGGTAACCAGATTTACTTTATTTTTGATGTCCTCCCCATCCCCATAATTTAAAATGTAAAAAGGGATAGTTCACCCAAAAATGAAAACACTGTCACAAAATGCACATGTAGTTTCAAATATGTATGATTCACTTTCTATCGTGGAACATAAAAATATATATATTTTGAAAAAAGCCTTTTTGTCCATACAAAAAATGTCAAAGGGGTTTTCACATTTTCATTGTACAGACAAAAACAGTTTCAAAATATCCTATTTTGTGTTCCACAAAAGCAAGTCAGTCATGAAGGAATGACATGAGGGTGAATAAAATAACATTTAATTTTGGTGTGAATAAAGTAGTAAACAAGCATGGAAATACATAAATTCCATGCTACAGTCTGTGTATGTATTAGCCAACAGCTCTGTCTAATGTAGTATATACACTATTAATACACCATATATATGAATATTAATTATAAAGCTTGATGTTATATATCACATTCAAAATAAGAATCTAATTCTAGTACCAGTTCTGCCCTTTATTATCCATTAAAATCCATTAACATTTATAAGTAGGATATGAAATTTCACTTTTTAACCCTGCGTTACAACACTCCCCATTCTGCCCTAAATATTTTACTGTACATCTGTAAAAACATAACAGGATAAGGATATTTTCATACCATCTTACGATTAGGCTCAAAACTTAAAATTCTCTCCCAACAAAGTGAAAATAAAACAAAAACTAACATTGGCTGGTGTAAATTAGTGCGAAGCACCTTGTACAAAGCACGTTCAGTGAGTTTATGATGATGATGATGATGATGGTAATGATGATGATGATGATGGTTAATTGCAGTAGACTGTGCCTGTTGAACGTGGCTGGATTTCTGTGAGGTACACGTATCCCAGGCTGCAGCGAGAGAGGGCCGCGGCCGGTGCGGGTGTAAGGGGTGTAATATATTTAACTATGGTAAAGTAGTGTTTTGAGAATTGGTAATTGCTCACATCCCTCTCTGGCCACGGGGACACTGTCCAGATCTCACCGTATACACACGTGTGGGGTTTCTGAGGTGCACGCTTTCAGGTCTGCATGGCATGCGGCCAAACGCGTCTCTAGCTTGTTTCCTGGCATGAAATGTTGACTGACTGATAAGAAAAACAGTAGCACAGAATAATAACACAATCATGAATTGGCTGATGACCCGGTTATGCTTTTAAGCAACCGCAGTGCTTTCATGTTCACAGCCGTCTCACCGCCTGCTCGAGCCCGAGGCCCGACGATCGGACCCGACTTCACACTAGCGCTCTTTGCATAAAAGAAAGTGTCTACAGTCATAATATTTACTTTGATAATGTTTTCACGACATGGCAACTCCGAAGCGGGGATATATGTATAACTGTCTAAATATGACAGTCCATGTGATTTGGAATGTGCAATGAATAAGGCTCCTTTTACCCTCTCTCTAGAATTTGCTCTGAATAAACAAGAGACTTGGGTCAGGTCCTCCGATGTGTGATCTACTTTGTAGGCCGGTGGTTAAGCGTGACATGCTTGGCCCTTAAAATATACCCTTTTTGTTAGAGGGAAACGGACAGAAAAATATACAGAATTCTCTGTAATTACGTATAAAGGTTTATTTTACTTTGAAGCCACCATGATGAAATCCCAGCCGATGGCGGAGCACTGGATGTGCGCGGCCGTATACGGGCTTCATGTTGTCTGGAGTAATCTAGCCTCGCGACTGGTTTGAATTTGCTGCCCCGCGACAGCAAAATTGTCGTAATCACAAAGTAAACAGATACTTCCTCTCCTATCAGAGCGAGTCGACAAAGTTAGTGAATGAGGGAACTTTCACTGTTAATTGTTGTTTTCCTTCGTACCCTGATTCAAAAACACTAGCATAATTATTGCAAGTGCTACTTTGATTTTGTACGTTTGAAAGGGGCTTAAGATGTTTCAGCAAATTATTCACTTAGGTTTAGTTGGTCTTGCATCTCCTCATGGAAATCAAGACTATTTCAAGATAATATATGCTACTCGGTAGTTTGATTGTGGACCAAACACAAAGAAAAATCTGTGAATGCAAAAGGGTTTGAGTTGGTACTATATATTTTCCACCCAATTCATCATATTTAATACTCACAGAGGTACATGCACAACATTTTCTCATCATTTATTTCCCCCATGCATAAACACTGAATAATTATTATTTCTAGATT